GATGTCTCTCGTCAGCTGTGAGCCACATGGCGGACACAAGCAACAGAAATGGATGCGGCCTCCCAGAGCAAGATTTCCCGCTTTGCGATTCACCACACAGAATCATCTTAATTCGCTTTGCCTTACAAAGTCTGAAACCTTGTATGTTTTGGGGCACGCGCGCAATTCTTTAAGTTCGTTTACAGCCTTTTAATTATGTATCGTTTCCTGCTTTCGAGGGTTCCTTTGAAGGAAGAAACGTTTCAGAAGTCGGCGCTTGGAATAGCTCCAGTCATCTCGCCCCTGGCTCCGCGCCAGAGCTTGAAAGAAAATGGATGGAAAGGCTAGAAGAGTCCTGAACCTACTCTGTAACATGTGCGGTGACGTGCAAAACTGGCTGAGTCCCGGGCTTCGATGAAGGGCTTCCTGCTCCTGGAGTCCTGGTCCTCAGGAAACGACCTAGAGCACCCCCCTGCCCCACGATTCCAGCTGCTGAATACTAGGTTGTGAGCCTAGGGTTGCCACCTCCAGGTTGGGAAACTCTTGGGGGATTTTGGAGGGTGGAGCCAGAAGAGGGTGGGGTTTGGGGAGGGGCCTCAGCAAGGTATAATGCCACAGAGTCCACCCTCTGAAGTAGCCATTATCTCCAGGGGAACTGATCTCTGTCGTCTGCAGACTAGCTGTGATTCTGGGAGATCTTCAGGCCTTACCTGCAGGTTATATGGAGAAATATATGACCCTGTGTATAACAGATGTATGCTTAAGGTAGAAGGGAAAAAAAGAAAAGGAAAAAAAAGCACAAAATAGATCTATCTTAAGCAGACATCTACTATACACAGTGTCATGTATTTTTCCATATCTTCCTAACACTGTGAGACCCTCCGTTTTTGTACTACTCCCCTTCAGGTTGGCAACTCTACCCAAGTGGTACAGCAAGGGAAGCCAAGTATTTCCCCCCCCCTCCCTCTGTATGCTGGATGGCATGGGTAGAAGAACTGGGGTCAGCACACTCACATGTCCCCCATTCCTGAATTGCTCAAGCTTGTCTCCCTTGTAGCTGAAACGTTGGGGGTTGTGTGTGTATGTGTGTGTGGATTCTAATACCTCCTCCCATTTATTTCAGCTTCAAAACATGAAGCCCCTAAAACCTTGGAGCATCCTGGATTGAACAAGCAGCCCTCCCCACAACTGTAAGTTGTTAAAGGCTCAGTCAAGAAATAACTGTGCTCGTTTTCCTCACTGGCTCCACCGGCCGTTCCTCACCAATGGTTGCTTTTGGAGGCAGGAGAGGGCAGGCAAGTGACGACAGGGAGGATGAACATCTTTAACTGAAAGCCTGCTGGGGGCAGCTCCAGGCTGCGATGGGCCCTCCCCTCTGCTAGGCCTCAACAGGCAGTTGACCTTGCCAGCTGCAGATCCTGGCCCTGAGGTCCTTTCAGCACAGACAGGAACCCTGTCGCAACAGTTCCTGTCAAGATTCGGGAGATTCATCTCCGGGTGGCGAAAACACAGAGCACAGGAAACACCGGGCCAAGGAAACACAGCCATTTCCCTTCTTCCTTGGCTCCTTGCATTGTGGGAAGTGTAATTTATGCTGATGAAGAAGGACACAAGGATAGGCCAGGATTGCCAGTCCCCTGATCAGGGCGAGGAATCCCCTGCCCCAGGCACCAAACAGCAGCAGCACCAGAAGAATTATTTTAGAAAAATCAACAATGATGGCAGGGCTGCCATTCCCCTCCAAGGGGGACTTGCTGCCACTCAACTGGCCAACATGGGGGAAATGGCGGGAAATGGGGAATGCTGGCAGCATTCCAATGTGCTGCTATCACTCCCCATGTGCCTGGAAGTGACATCAGCATGTTGTTGGGGGATGCTGGGGACCCTCTGGCATTTGGACACAACTCTACGGTTAAACCATAGCAATGTGCTGCTGTCACTTCTGGACGCATGGGAAGTGGTGTCAGAGTAATGAGTGAGTCCCTCTGCTGATTGCCCTGCCTGGCAACCCTAGCCACATGCGCCTACATCACTTTCAGTGGCAACCTGGAAGTTATGGTAGGTAACTCAGGGAATTATTGGCAACTCTATGGTTTTCCCATAGTGTTTCCAGTGATTCCTAGAGTTACCCTATGTCACTTCTAGAAGTGATGCTGGGTAGCTCTGGGAATCACTGGAATCTCTATGGTTTTACCATAGAGTTTCCAGTGATTCCTAGAGTTACCCTATGTCACTTCTGGGTTTTCACTGGAAGTGGCATACTGGTGCACATACTGCTGTGGCCCCTCCATGACCCTGCCCCTAATCCTCCTCCCAGTGGCCAGACATAGCCTTTCAACCCTAGCCAGCACGATGACTGAGACCGTCTCTCTGTGGCCTTACCTTTTCTCCAGGGACTCCAGTATTTCCAGGCCTGCCTGCTTTGCCATCAACGCCAGGATCTCCCTTTGGGGCACAAAAACAAAACAGAATTAAAAAGGAAGACATGGACCCACTATTGTGAATTCAGCAGTCCTGTTTTTTAATTACAATCATAAGTATAATTTCTTTTTGCTCTGCAGAGGCCTTGAAGCCTAACTAACTTGGCCTAGTGTGAATTAGGATGAGGGTCCACCTATCCCCATTATGGATGGGGAGGGTGGGAGAGAAGCACCAAGGCCTCCAGGTTCTGGCCTTTGTCTGATGACACCACTGGGTGAACTCTAGGTCTTCTGGACTTCTCAATCTGATTTAACATCTGTATACTCAAAGTGCACAAAAACTACGGACGCCTCATGTTCACAAGACGTCTAAGTAAACTAGATTGTGCCGCCAGCGCAAAGCCCCCTCCTTAACAGCGTTAGAAAAGAATTTTCTAGTTCACTAGAGTCAGAATTTAAGAATAAAACCAGGGATGAAATCTTGCTAGCTTGAGTCTGATGGATTGACTTCAAAATTGCTTCATTATGTGGGTATTCTATTACCTAATTTGCATCTCTATGTGGCAACAGCAACAAGAGGGAAAAAAATGTAGGAAACTGGGATGCCATCCAAAACGTGGCTGCCTGAAGTTCTCTCAACTGCCCTTTCCTACTTAGTTCTGTCAACGAAGCGCACCAGGAATACCAAAGGCCTCAGTCCCTCAGACAGGCTGCCGCAGTTGTGTTTTGCTTGACACAATGATATTGATCACCCTTCTCTTGGAAACAGTGACCGCGTTTTTGTGCAGAGGAGGAGAAAGGGCTTGTGATAGCTTTAGGGTGTTTTTGTGCAGAGGAGAAAGGGCTTGTGATAGCTTTAGGTGACAACGCTGTTGGAAGTTGCCTTCGTGAACAGAAAGAGGGCTTATGGAGCTCTACCAAGCCTCCTTCCTAGGCACTGTACTACAAGAACAATATTCAACGTGCTTCCACCTGACAGGGTGGAACTGACTCCTGGCCAGAATGTAACCTATCTGTGTCCCTGGACTTAAGAAGAAAATAGAAAATTCTAACTCACCAGTCCCCCTTTGGGCCCATAAGGACCAGGGTCACCTTTTGATCCAGGAGGTCCACGTAAGCCCTTGAAAAAAACCCACAAGTGATAATCAGTATATGCAGAAAATGAAAAAGTATTACATAGTTTTGTGTAGTGCAACACTTCTCAGCAGGGGTGGTTGGAGATGCGACCAGGTGCCTTGGCCAGGACTGGCTTTCCTCTTGGTTTATAACCATCGCAGAACTGAACATTGCCTCCTGGAAACCTCCCCACCCTACACTGACCACCAGTCCTTCAACTGCACTCCTGCCTCCACCTGTGATACGCATTATATGGGTTGGATCCAACCAACTTTTAAGTCCAGCTTCACTTATTCCCTCTCCTTATGACCGCCCCCACGCCAGCTCTGACCCATGCAAGTCCCATAATCCTCCACTATAGCCTCTTAGGCGATTCCCCTCCTCCCCTTTTCACCAGGCGAAAAACTGGTCAGATCCAACCTGTATCAGCATCTGTAAGTCTACTCTCACAGCTGTGCGCTCCTATCTATGGCTGGCAGCCATTGGGACTAGAAATGTAATCTGCTAAGGCTACATACATCAAATCCCGGGGATCCTTTGCATCCAGGTAACCCATGAAATCCAGCTTCACCCTGTGAGGAAAGAAGAGAGCTGTCTGAGTTAATTGCCCTTACAAATCAATGCCATAATCAGTCATATTCTCAGAGACTGCAATGAGCTGCGATGCAGCATCTGGAGGCAAAATAATAGCTGAAGAAAGCACCACAATGGAAGGAACTGCCTCAGTGCATTGATCCACTTGACTGTTATGGCCAATGTTCCCTCTAAGCTGTGGAGTCCTGTGGGCAAAAATTCTACTTTGTGAGCTCCTGGCATTAAAGCTGTGAGCGAGTGATTTGGCTACTGCATAAATTAGTTTGCTCTGGAGCAATGTTCCCTCTAAGCTGTGGAGCCTTGTGAGCAAAAATTCTACCTTGTGAGCTACCAGCATGAAAGCTGTGAGCGAGTGGTTTGGCTACTGGATAAATTAGTTTGCTCTGGAGCCATCCTTCCTGAGCTGAGACAAAAATGTGTGAGCCGGAGGCTAAAAAACTGTGAGCTAGCTCACACTAACTCAGCTTAGAGGGAACACTGCTCTGGAGCTATCCTTCCTGAGCTAAGGCAAAAATGTGTGAGCCAGAGGCTAAAAAACTGTGAGCTAGCTCACACTAACTCAGCTTAGAGGGAACATTGGTTATGGCTGATATTTAGGCTTAAGGCCTTCCTGGCTGGACTTATAAGAGCGTAAGAAGAGCCCTGCTGGATCACACCAGTGGCGGTCTAGTCCAGCATCCTGTGTCACACAGTGGCCAACCAGTTCCTCTGGAGGGCCAACAACAGGGCACAGAGGCCGAGGCCTTCCCCTGATGTCGCCTCCTGGCACTGGGATTCAGAGCTTTACTGCCTCTGAATATGACGGTTCCCTTTAGTCACTCCTTCAGGTCATGAAGAAAGTTGGCTATTCCTACAATAGATGGAATTTCCCCCTCGGAATGAAACTTTTCGGGCTCAGTTACAACCATTTCTTTCATAGTTTTGTTTCTGGCTTGTTTACTTTATACATTTTTCCACAGCCTGCAGTTCAGCGTCTTAACCACTTGAGCCACCACAGCTCCTAAGATGGTATGCTTTGCCCCAAAAGCTGGAGCCTACCTTCTTGCCATCGATGCCGTCGATACCACGCTTGCCTTTATCCCCCTGAAAGCAGAAAAAAGAATGAATGCCAAATAATCGAAAAACGGTTTTCTTTAGCAAAATTGTGAAAGAAAACCCTCAGGGCCTGGGAGGTGTGTGGGTGTGGGGGGGTAGGGGTGGAAATCAGGGTAGGCAGCAAAATTGCTGGCGCTGAGCAAACTGCCAGAGAATCCCTGGTATGCCACCCAGAATTCCATGAGAGATGAAAAGAGGGATATAAGTCTAGACAGCCAGTACACACACACACACATATATAGCTCTCTAGACTTTTTAATATATACATATAAAAAATATATAAAAGTCCAGAGAGCCACGAGAGAGAGAGAGAGAGATCAGCTAGCCTTAACTGTGCTGCTGCTAGCTGTATGAAATAGCACAAGATGGACACAGCAAAGCCGTTACAGACAACGACGTATGACCAACAAATTCTCAGTACCATTTCCAGTTATATCTTGTCTTATGTCGAATGATTCTCAAAGCGGCTACCAATAGTTTTGAAAACATAGCAGTACCATTAAAAAACATAAATCCCATATTAGAAGTATCCATCATGTTTGCTCATAACCTGTGTCAATGAAAAAACAAAGAGCTAGTGTAATGGAGTGGTCAGAGTGTCAGACTAGATCTGGGAGACCCAGGTTCGAATCTCCGCTTGTGCCACAGAAGCTGGCTGGGTGACCTTGGCCCAGTCGCACCCTCTCACAGGGTAGTTGGTGAGGATGAAGCGGAGGAGTGAAGGCCATGAGCCGCTTTGGTTCCCCATTGGGGAGGAAGGCAGGAGAGAAATGAAGTAAAATGAATAAATAAGTATTATAAATAAACAAAACACACACGTACCTTGGATCCTTTCCCACCTCTGGAGCCCTGCGTGTGAGAGAAGAGTATTTAGAAAGGAGTATCGATTATGGCACCCACTTTGAGTTGGCCCTCATTGTCCACCTAGCTGACCTGAAGGGAAAGCTTGAACCCTTGGCTCTTGTGTTAACGAACGGAAAAGCAAGTAGGTGGGGAAAAGAAGCTCGTGACCTTTCCGATTCCACGCACAGCCGTGGTCAACCAAAGTGCAACTTGCTTGCTCAGCTCCGCCAAGCAGAAAAAGAAAGTTCTCCCTTTCTTGCGCATGATTATAAGCAGCACTCCCTCTTATCTTGACTGCCTGCAATCTGATAGTAACTGAAAAGCCCCAATATAGGCTATGATTCAATGAGAGCTCAGTGGAAGCCACAGAGTGGGGTGCTGGCTGTAGATCCCAACTCCCTACAGATTCCAGCTTTCACCCCCCCCCCCAATTAAAAGGGCAACTTTCTAGTTCTTACGGAAAGTACCCTTATGGGGAATGGCTGGTGGAATCTCAGAAACCCGAGGGGTCGCAGAACAGTCCTTCCAGAAATCAGAGGGGGCAGCCCTTCAGAATCATGCATAATGCTTTGCTCCAACCAAAGACGTAGATGAAAATGTGCACATTGGACATCCTCCACACAACATTCTGCTGTTATCTTCAATGATTTCGACTTGCCATGGGGCAGAATTCAGATTTTTTTTAAAAAAAATAATAATGCAATACCTAAATCTACTCAAATGGGCAGAATTAGCTCAAATGGGTAGAAAGATAGACTTGCAGGTACAGCTGTGCAGTAACATCTGCTTCACAAGAAGATAAAATATGCCTAACCATGGCACCCTCCCATATTTGACCCCCAATGCTGTTAGAAAAGGTACTGTGGCCAGAAAAACAACAACAAGAACAACAACAACAACAACAAAACAGAGCATCATAGGCAGTGAACAGGATGCGGAAGAATCAAATGCCCGAAGAAACTTCACATAATAACAGTGAAAAGCATTTTTTTTTTAAAAGTGCAGAGTATAAGGTGATATACACCCTTACCTGGAAGTAAATCCCATTAGAAATACAGAAACTTACTTCTAAGTAAGGGACTTACTTCTCATTTGGTGGTCTTTGGCCACCCAATGAGAAGGGAGTACTCACTGGAGAAGGCCCTAATGCTGGGAAAGATTGAAGGTCAAAGAAGAAGAAGGGGACGGCAAAGGATGAGATGGTTAGACAGTGTTATCGATGCAATGAACATGAAATTAAGCAAACTCCGGAGGACACTGAAAGACGGGAGGGCCTGGTGTGGTGTGGTCCATAGGGTCGCGAAGAGTCGGACTCGACTGTGCGACTGAACAACAACAACTCCTAAGTAAACATGCATAGAACTGAATTATCCATCCATCTCCAGCTTACTTGCCTTGTCACCTCGACCTCCTTTTTCTCCCTAAAAAATGACAAGAAGAAAGAAAATGAATATATGAGAAGGTTGGAGACAAAATTTAATTCCAAGATGTAAGAACCAAGTTAGGAAGGAAGTCATGCTCACCTTCATCCCTTGGTAACCGACAGGTCCAGGGTCACCTTGCTTCCCCTAGAGTAAAGCAACAAGAACAACAGTCACAACTAAGGCTGAATGTAGGAGTCATCAACTCCATCATGGGAAATCCCTGGAAATTTGGGGGTGGGGCCTACAGGGGGCGGAGTCTGGGGACAGAGCTCAGCACGGATGTGATGTCTTAGCGTTCACCTTCTGAAGCCACCATTTCCTCCTGGGGAACTGATCTCTGTAGTCTGGAGACAGCCCCGTAGCTAGGGAATTCTTTGGGAGGGGGCCTTAGGGGGGCCCGCCAGCTAATTAAATGGAAGTACAGTGCAGGTGGTAAGTTGGAGCACTTTGGGGGCAGCCCCGGAGGGAGGGGGCCCAGAAGAAACACAAGGGGGCCGGGCCCCGTGGGCCCCATGTTAGCTACGGGCCTGTCTGGAGACCAGTTGGAATTCTGGGGGAAGGCCAGGCCCCGCCCCAAAAGTAGTTCAGCGTTAAGTTCCTGTCACATGGACCTTGGGATCTGCTGCCAGAAATGGACTTACTGTCATGTAGGTTTGTTTACTAGGGATTTGGAAAATCACACATAGAAATATCCTTGTACTGGATGTATTCTCTGTTTCTCTCTCTCTCACACACACACCCCGATTATAAAATACAGCAACTATGAAAATGACTTTCTGATTGTGACTGGTGACACCTTTAAGGCGGGTTGCATGGATTAGAACACTTTAGAGGACGGATGCATTAGTATTTATCGATTATAAAATCGATTATAAAAGAGGTATTGCTTCTCCTCTGATCTAAACCTACAAACAAATGTGTTTGGGACTGCAAGAGAGCCACATACTTCTAGAATGCGGTAGAATGGATTGGCACACATCCTCTGCACAGGAAATAGCGTATGTGTGTTCAGTCTACTTCCACTAGGGTTGCCAACCCCCAACCCCCGATGAGGGCGGGGGTTCCCCTGATCTCGGGGGCCCCAATCCACCGCCAGCCCCACCCCCCGAACAGCCGTCACATACAACGTGCCCGGCACGATGACATCACCAGGAGCACGTCGTGCAGGGGACACTCTGGCATTCAGCTAAAACCTCTATGGTGACCATAGAGTTTTAAGTTGAATGCCTGAGCGTCCCCTGTAGAACGTGCCTAATGTGATCACATCACTTCCAGGTAATGTCATCATGGCGCGCTATGACCAGAAGACCCAGGAGGAACGCCAGGATCCCTCCGCCAGCGGATGGGTAAGACCTGGCAACCCCAAATCCCACCATTCCATCTTCACAGCAGGGTTGCCATGTCCCCACTGGCAACCAGCAGGGGATGGTGGGACTTAGCTGGTTGTGGGGGGCCCCTCACTGGCAATGCACTAACGTCACTCCCTTTGCACACTGAAAGTGGCATCAGCCCTTTGCTGGTGATGCTCTGGTATCCAAGCAGAACTCTATGGTTTAACAGTAGAGTTTTATGAAATACCAGAGCATCTCCGGTGGCCCCCAGTGAAATGCTGATGTCACTTCAGGGCACACAGGGAGCGGCATCAATGCATCTGGACACAGCTGATGCCCCCCGGTTTTGGGAGCATTCCACCACTGGCCAGATGGGTGGCGGTGGAGAGCATCCTCAGAGGGAGGGGGAGCCCCCTGCTTCCACTGGGGGTCTGGGAACCCGACTTCACACCAAGACGCCCAACTCGTTCTGGAGCCCTCCCTGGACGGGAACACTGCATTGAGCCCCTAACCCTTCTGACTGAGTAAGAGGAAGTTAGTCTTTTGTCAGCTGGGAAGGCAGCCGTTTTCCGGGCAATAGTCAGCATGAAGACCTGAATCCAAAGCTCAGTAACAGTATGATCTAGATTATTCACCGTTTGGCCTGAAACTAAAACCAAAGGAAATGTCTGCTGTGAACGAAGGGCTGTTTCCCAGGCTTCCAAACTCAACACAAACAAGGTGTGTAATGGGCTATTTATGGATGGGGGAGAAGCACACCCTCTCCCCGAATAAAAGGGCCTCGTTCTTAAAAAAAAAAAAGGAGGGAAAATCACACTGACTCCGCCCTTCAGCAAATTTGATCTCGAACACACCCAAGGAACGCTGCCTTGTTCGTACTTTGGAAAAAGGAGATTCCAAAATGCAGTCAACGAAAGAAATCGAGGGGAACCGTGAGTCAGAGGAATCCCGTGTGGTCAAAAACAGGTTTTTTGTTTTTTTTATATAAATAGCCCCTTTTGAATGACGAGGTTTTGGAACAAGGGAAAGCTTTTATAGAAAGATACTGAGGAGAACCCCTCCCATCTAACCGAGGCTTAAGATTTGTTCCTTGCTACCAAACCCTTCACCAGCCAAATAAAAAAAAAGGGCTGGTGCCATGCTTGGCCATGAGAAGGTGGAAAGTGGAATTTTTAGACAGAGAAATATTTATTTACGAATCCTGTAGGCTGCAGCTCTCGGCCAATGGTTCTTACATGCAATTAAGTGTCTTTTTCTCAGGAGCTGAAAAGTGACTGTACGGCTTCCCAGGAAAATTGTTCAAGAGCTTAAAACTAAATGAAGGAAGGCTTAAGGCGAAAAGCTCTTTTGAAAACACTGAGTCACCACTACGGTCGTTCACTTTTCAAACACGCAATTCACAGGATCACGGATTTCCCCCAGTGGCCGGCCCTGGAACCTGGTGTACACATAACGTATTTCTATTTTTATTTCCCTTTACAAAATGCTCCTTAAGAATGTCATTGAGAACCCAGAACATTTCCAGTTTGCTGCGTAATCCCCCAAAAGATAATAATGAGCTCTCCCCATTCTCAGCTGTTTGCCATAGTGGGTGTGTATATGGTACAGAGAGCCATCGAGTTGCAACGGACCCATGGTGACCCCGTAGGGTTTTCAGGGCAAGAGACGTTCCGAGGTGGTTTGCCACGGCCCGTCCTCTGCGGAGCGACCCTGGTAGTCCTTGGTGGCCTCCCACCTAAGTACTAACTAGGGCCAACCCTGCTTAGCTTCTGAGATTGGACAAGATCAGGCTACTAAACTGGTTTATAAAGGTCATGAGTTCATGTTTGGGAAACAGTCTCTTGGCCCAGCCCTCAGCATACATAACCAGTCCTTCACAGTGATCATCAGCCCTAGATAGAGATATCCAGGGCTATTTTTGGGGCAGGAACGCACAGGAACGGAGTTCCAGCTGGCTCCCATGTTGGCCACGCCCAGCAGGAACTTATTAGCATAATAGGCCACACCCAACAGCAGAAATCCATTAGGATTGGCTTCATTAGGGGTGTGCGGCCTAACATGCAAAGGAGTTCCTGCTACAAAAAAAGGCCCTGGGTTTTGACAACAAACAAGGTAAACAGAATAACAAGCAAAAGGTGGGTGTGGCTGGATAACCACACTCCTGGTAACATGGGGGTGCGGCCTAATGTGCTTATGAGCTGTGCTGTCAGGGGTGTGGCCCAATATGCTAATGAGTTCCTGCTGTTGGGTGTGGCCTATTATGCTAATGAGTTCCTGCTGGGCTTTTTCTACAAAAAGAGCCCTGATCA